GTCCTAATCTTCCCTCTTATCATACACCCTGGTGAACAATACCTACCTGAAGATTTAGATCTGAATTCACAAGTGATAAAAACTGCTCCTTCAAGCTCCTTGATGAAGTTAGAATATCCTTCCTGCCACAATAGCAAAATACCATCGGCACTTTCCATAGCAAGGAGATCAAACCACCCAACATCTATCCTACCCCATAATCTTCACCATCAATCTACCATAGACGACTCCATTTTAGTTTCTTGCAAACAAACTACATCAGCACTTTTACTCAAACCCCTTTAATCACAATTCTCTTGGTAGTATCGCGATTACCTTTTAGGTTCCGACATTTCAAGAGACAATTTTGCTAATCATAATCAACGGGTACAATTGCAAGCCCTTCTCGCCTACCCCCTTCAGGCACCTCACTGTCTTTCTTATAACGAGTAGAGCACTCAAGATGCTTCAATTCCTTTATCGTCCCTTTACTCCTGACTTTCTTTCTTCCTCTCCTAGCCTACCTCCTCTCTTAACCGGGATCCTTTCTTCTAGTCTCCTAAACATATCCATAGATTAACTTTAAGGCCCTCCAAGCTCACTCCAAGTGATTCACTCATGCTCCTGATAAAATTCGTCACCCAAGCTAATTCAAAGACAAGCCGACACTTGAACTTCTTCCTTTTTTTCCCATCCCACCAGCTATCCTTAACTGAAGATAAAATCCCCATTCCTAGCACTGCTAGCCATTTCTGTAATATCCTATCTGCATTGAACAAGCACGGAAGAAAAGGTGGTAAAAGGAGAACAAGACAAAGAAGGTCATGGAGAGAAAGGAGCAAGTGAGGCCACAACTTAGTGTTCAGTAACTCCTACTCCAACTCCTCAGCGCCCTACCAACTGGTCTCATCAGGTTCAAATAACCTTTCCTCACTGCACCTGTGACAACAAAACCAGAAGACAGAGAAGCTGACTCAGAAGCGGAGGGGACTCTCAGTCCTCTCTCCCTAAAATGAATTCCCCCATATACAAATCGACAGACGAGAGAGACTGGTTGAAGGTGATTCACATTTTGGGTTTGAAAACCCATTTTTCCTCCTATCTCTTTTTAGAATCTGGCTTAGAAGAGGTCCCAACTAGCACATGTCTTCTAGAACTCCATTCTCTAATTTCCACTCTACTCCCCAGAGAGAAACCGATCCTTTGTTGTTGCCTCTCAGCTCCCCAGCCATGAGTTGTGCCTCTTACCCAAAAGAAGTCGTATAGAGCCTTAAAGCACCATTTAATCTCCTCATCAGAAAAAGTAAACAAAGAAATGACTACCAAAACAATTCTTACTGACTCTCAGGGGTTCCGATTTTAAGACAATATCAAAAGATTTTCTCTCCACCTCTAGGAATTTCCTTGATGTGGAGGAAATGACTGCTTCAGCCACAAGACTAGGTCAAAATAGAGGCAAGAAAAGAGAAAGGCACTCTAGAGAAAAAGACTCCTTAGAGGAAGAGAGAGAAAATGATTTATCACGGATTATTTTGTGAATTCCAAAGAGAAAAAACTACTTGAAATTTTCTATTTTTAAGAAAATTACAAACATATATTCTAGATGTTCCTAAGTTGGAAGGTCTTTAACAAAACTATTTTTATTTTTTCCACGTTAAACATATTTTTACTTGTTTCCTGAGAGCTAAATAGTCCACTTCTTTTTTCATTGAATTCTTTCTTTCTATTCTTCCACATACTTCCCAGCTGCACAGGTCATCAGAGGCAATGAAATTTATCTACCACAATATAGATGTACAAATATCTATAACTTTAGCTAAACGATTAAGAAACCCATTCGGTGAAAAGTGCGCAAATGCTATTAGCATTTAATTTGTTTGAAATTTGAAAGAGATCGAGTCTTGAAAAATAACATACCTTCAGGTCAGGCAACTCAATTACACAAGCACACTCTACCACTTCAGCACCTGCACATTCTGAGATGACAAGTTTCACGAAAAAATAAGTAGGGACAATACCAATAGACAACTTTTGTCTTTAAGGAAACAAGAAGGCAGTTCACACAGCTAGAATACTACCAAACAGCACAGAGCTCACTTCCATCACCAGCTTTAGTATCTTATATTCTTAAAAAACCAAAGAGCTGGAAAGTCTGGTTCCTACCAGGTTGGGCCCATATTGTTCAGTTTTCTTATAAATAAGAAAGAAAAGAGAAATTTAGGAAGTGACTAAGAATATTATGACTCCTAAAGCATTAAAACTAGAAATTTGACTATGAATTGAATGGAACATGAATCAAATTTCATATATGCAATTAAGCATCTGCAACTTTAGTTTTTAATTTCAAGAGCTTGATTAAGGAGCAGAAAAAAGCAGATAATAGATGAATTGCATGTTCAATTTGAGGATATAGGCAAATAAAAATATTTATAAAAACTTTAGGAGCAGATAAATTAAATTAAAGAAATATAACCATAAAAAAGGAAAGTACAGAAACTATGAAAACAATGCTTTAGAATGAGCTACCAATTGTGTTTCTCAATTTATATATACCTTCCTCTCATCAAAAAGAAAATCTTATATAGATCTACAAGAAAATAGAGATGCTTTTGAGTCTTTTATTAATTTTTGGTTTATGCTGCAGATATGAAAGTCTCAATATATAAACAGGATAAGACCCCTAAAAAAACGTTGATCTATCCAAGGGCCCTAAGATTGAGGCTTAGCTGCAGTATAATGCAAAAAGGGAAAGCGGAGGAATTGCAGCTAAGTAGAGAAAATAAGAGAGGCAAGAGGAGAGAGGAAGAGAATTTTTGTATGTGCATGTCAAGGGAAAAAATAATCAGGCACATACATTGATCAGTGTCTGGCAAAAATGAATAAGAGTTACATATTCGTAATTTTATCTTCAATTTTGAGTAAAACAAGAAATATTTTTGACAAATTTAAAATTGAATTCTTGTTACGCAAAAAGACAGAAAACAAAATTTAACTACGTTTCTATAACTTTTTTCATTAAAAAAATTATAAACTAACTTTATCATCTTCCAGGAATGCAAAATTATGTTTCCAAGATACAGAGATATATTATATAATGCATACACCCAAGAAAGTCGCAGTGAATTTCCCTACAATAATCACTTATACTAATTCGGAGACAACTGAATATCATTATCATTCTTCACAAATTATAAGATTGTGAATTATCGTCACCAAGTAAGTTCCTCCATACTTATTATTGTTATATGATTGCTCATTGGCTGAACTGAAATTTTTCTACGTTTCATTCTTGTCTCAGCATTAGCACTCTTGCTTGTAAGCTAAAGCAGTTAAAAAATTTATAAACATCAGATATTGCAATGAAGCACTAATAAGGATTTCAAAAGAAAATCTCAGAACCCATGAAACTCAGTTAATGTTAAAGTTAGCGAAGTTACCAAGTAAATTCATAGCTGCACAGAGAGTGCCACCAGTGGCAATCAAATCATCAACAACCAAAGCACGTTCACCAGGTTCGACTGCTCCAACATGCATCTCAAGACAATCTCTTCCATATTCCAATACATATTCTTCTGAAATCACTTTCCCTGATGACATGGTATTTTTAAAAAACATAATAGAATAAAAAACATCTATAGTATTTTTAGTCTTTTGGTGTCATGAACATGTTAAATTAAATAATGAACACAAAGATATCAGTGAAAACAATAAACAGGCACTGCATATGTCTTGAGGAGTTCTGAAGAATCAACAAAATAATAGTGGAGTGTGTGGTGTGGCATTCGCTGATGCCTATGCAATTGGTTTCAGTCAACTGCAGGTTCTAGTTGACCAACTTGTTTCACTCAAACTAATTGAAGTTTTTGAAGAAAATAAATTTCTAATTTTATTTCTTATTTCTTATTTCTTATGTTTACATTTAAAAAATATATATAAAATGGTTATTTTTATTCTAGTTGAACTGTAATTAAACGATATAATCATTCTATTAGAACTTCAAGTAATATAGTATTTTACTTAACATGAAATCTTTATCAACATTTCCTCTCAAGTTGGCACAAAAATATCACACATGCCCAAACTTGTAAATCAGATTCTGAAGAGATTTGTTACATAGTCTTTTAATGAAAATGTCAATCATCTGCT